CAAGAATGCGAAGGTCACGCAGAAGATACCCCCCTAAGGGAGGGGTGCCTTCTTCCCAAGAAACACGGGAGGTCAGTGGAAGTTTTAGCTGTTGCTACTCATGGTGAAGTGGGAATACCCTCCCCACTTCATGAGTTGGCCAAGGCAAATGACTCTTTAGTCACCCCGCAGACTCATCTGGACCAAAATGTGCTTTGTACATTAGATGTGTCTGAGGCCTTAGAGGATTCGCAGAGTGAGTGTTCAGACAGGGACCCTAGAGAATCTTGGGTGTCACAAAGTTGTGGTCCTAGAGGGGAACATTTTGTGTGTAGACTAGCTAAGTGGGAGGCTAGTAGGTTGTTTGAGTCCTATGCGTGCTTATGTACGGCAACGTTCTATAAATACTATAAACAAGACCAAGAGGAGGGTATGTACCTAGTCTACGTCTCTGAGAAAGGGAAAGCCGTTAAAACACCCCCAAAGATAGAGCATATCGTCGCTAAGTTCCCTGATGTGTGCAGGAAGCCCACAGGAGTCGTTGAAAGGGAGATAGTTCACGCCCTAGAAATTAGGATGGCCCCGACCGAGTTGGACGAACTCTATCGACAACTGAAGGAGCTGACAGAAAAGGGATGTATACGGCCTAGTACTTCTCCCTTCGGATCCCCAGTGTGGTTTGTGACGAAGAAGGGAGGAAGTTAGAGGATGCGCATTGACTATAGAGGCCTCAATGCCATCACAATGAAGAACGCAGAGCCTCCCAGTGGCTAGTATTAGGGACTGGCCACGTCCTCAGACGGTGACTGAGGTTAGATCTTTCTTAGGGATGAGCGGCTACTATAGGAATTTCGTAAAGAACTATTCTACAGTCGTCTCTCCTTTGACAGATCTTACTCGGCTTGACACCTCATGGGACTGGAGTGATGAGTGTGAGGCTGCCTTCAAACGATTGAAGCGCGCACTCATGAATCACGAGTTTCTCATGGTTCCCGATCCTCAGAGGCCGTTTATAGTAACCACTGACGCTAACCAGTATGGGATTGGCACAGTGCTGGCTTAGCAGGATGGGAAGAAGTTGAGGCCGATTGAGTATGAGCAAAAAGGATGTCATCTAAAAAGTTGGCTGAACTCTATGCCCTATGCAAGGCTCTAATCCACTGGAAACACTAACTGTTGGGTAGATTCTTCTACTCGAGGACTGATCATCAGATTCCAAAGTGGACTCAATCTGTTCTCTCCAGTGCCCTCAAGCGCTAGAATAAGGTCATAGACAATATGACTTTAAGCTAGAGTAATTGAAGGGGGAGAATAACAATTTGCTGATGCGCTGTCACGTAGGGCACTAGTTTCTGAATTTGGCATATCTCACGAGCTAACTCAATCAGTGATGGAAGCCTACCGAAAAGACCATCTCCAAATGGATGGATTATGCTTTCTGGATAAGGCAGGGAATAAAAAGGTTAGATGGTCCATCTCGGGAAGTCTTGGATGTAGTGGGGAATGATTTGGATGATACGTCCTACGTTATCCGTATCCCTGATCACCTGCGCACTCACCCTGTCTTTCATGCCTCACCTTTCGCTGAGACAGATCAATTCCCTTCCAGGAGATCGATGCTACCCCCAACCATGGATGTCCAAGTGGACATCGACGATATTGTGGATCACAGGGACATGCCTGTTCCAAAGCCATTGGGTCGAGGAAGATCTCCAAAACCCAAGCGGGAGTATCGCATCAGATTCAGGCATCATACGGATCCGAAAAGAGATCGGTGGTTTACCAGAGAGGAACTGATTGACACAGCTCCTCAAGTGGTGGCAGAATATGAGAGGATGTTAAAAGGGAAGGCACCTGCGCACTAAGCATCTCAGCGGACTTTCGAAGCTAAGGGAGATGGAATGTGAGGATTGAGCCCTCAAAGGGGCCTTGCCGTGATGTACATGTTCTGGGCTAAGGCCCCCAGCAAGCCTCGTGCCCGCCCTAWGTGAAGGCGGGCCAGCAAATCARCGAGAGCCCTTTGTTCAAACATTTCACGAAGTGGGGTCCATACAGTTGCCGCACGCCAGTTGGTTGGAGTGCACCGAGKATCGGATCTCTGCAAATGCAGAAATCCCAGGGCCCCAGAATTGGTTAGGCCCTGGGCACATAAACGTGAGGCCGACAATGCATGCGGGATATAGAGGCCGAAAATGCCAATGGGAAACCGGTCCACTATCTGAATCTGGCCRCACGCCTTGATGAAGGAGGCGCAACTGCATCTCCTGGGCCCCAACCGCATTGTGCCTGGGTACAGGTACTGGGGCCCAGGCGCAGGCTCCAGGGAGGCTGCCCACACGCAACACTGGCATATAGGCAGGGAGGGCGAGTGGGCAAGGATGTTGGCCATTGCGGTCAATGCCGGCACGCTGCTGCGTTGCAAGGGGCTGCGCTGCGCTAAGGCTGGGAAGCTGCTGGCAGCGCTATGCGGTAGGGGTGCAGCCAGGGCAGAGGGCGCAGGGCGCTGGCAGCCATAGCCGGGCTGCGAGGTGCGCGCCAGAGGGAGGTGAGGGCGAAGGTGGTCTTCGGGTATGAGAAGGCCACTGTGTGGGTTAACAAGGGAGAGTGAGGGTGAAGAAGAGAGACGTACCTGGGGCAGAGGAGGTCGGCATTGGTGTTGACGTCATCACTCGCTGGTCGTCAAGTTGTCTGGTTGCTTTCATGCTGTAGTTGTAGTGATAGGCTGTAGAGTAGGTAGGGCGCCTGGCGCCATTCAAGAGAGAGAGCTACATTGGGTTATGCTGTTGGGCTTGGACATTGACTCACGATTCTTCTGTATCGTTCTCAAATGGATGGTTACTCGGTTCCATTGTGCTATCTGCTCTTGCTTTGACTACTTGGACTTCAGTGTGATTTTGCAATCTGGATTTCTGTGCTTCGTCCACATTCATGTTCCTTGCATAGGGCCTGTAGGCCCTCGTTTTCAGGCTTTCAGGCTGAAAACGACACAGGGCCTGTAGGCCCTTGTTTTCAGGCTTTTAGGCTGAAAACGACACAGGGCCTGTAGGCCCTTGTTTTCAGGCTTTTAGGCTGAGAACGCTGGTCGGGCCCTGCAGGCCCGTGTGGCTGCGCAGTATTCCACACCCGATTTCTTGCACGTATCCACAAACACGCCGAGATTCAGACGTTAGATCGGATTCATGCCCTCCACCACATGCAATCGATAGGGCTGGAGAAAAAAGAAAAAAACGGTACACCCTCTGACTGTTGATAAGGGCACCTGAGGGGCGCTGGGGCATCGGTTTGATGTGAGAGAGAGAGAGAGCGAGGGGGAGGTATGGCTCTCGCCGCGGCATGGTGTGTTGCGATACAAGAGGTTG